AGGGAGACCCCTCGCCCACACACACACACACACACACACACACACACACACCCACACACACACATCTCTCCTAACCATATCTTCCACATCCACACGACAGATCCAACACTCGTACCCCCTCACCCAGGAGCAAAAAGCCGCGCTGGCGCAAAAAATCACCGTGCTACACAGCACCGAGTACCTGACCCCGTCGCTGTTTGTCAACGTGCACTTCGTGCCCGGCGAGCCGGCCGGCGACTTCTTCGTGGCGGGGAAACCCTACAACCGCGGCGTGTCGTCGCCGAACCGCATCTTCGCGACCGTGCGGACGGGGCCGAAGCGCACAAAGGAGAGGTTCGACGCGTTCGCCCTCCGGCTCCAGAGCGCGTGGTACGACGTGGTCAACGGCGGCGAGATCAGCAAGGAAGAGAAACTGGCGAGGAAACTGCACTTCATAGCCTTTCAGCCTGTGATAGCCGCGCTTGAGAACGGCGTTCTCATTCCCAGCGTGAGTCTTCTTCCTCTTCGCTCCCCCCCTTTCTCCCTCAATTGCTCCTGAACCCTTTTAAACCTCTTTTTTCCTTCCCATCTCATTCGTCCTTGATAGGCCGACAACGAAGGCACCTGGCTCAAGGACAACCTGGCGTTTTTCGCCGACCAGGCCGAGAACCACGACGACGAGCCGTTCCGGGATCTCCTCCAAGAGCTAGGCAAGAGGGCGGATTTGAAAAAGCTGCTCGAGTGATTGTTTTAGTGATGTGCACGGGAGGGAGGACTCGCGGAGCGAGGGAGGGTGGACCGTAGAGGGAGGGATGGAGGCAGGGAGGGAGAGACGTAAGGAGGTAGAGAGGAGGGAAGAGGAGGGACGGGCTTCATAGCGATTTGGTTCATCACCACCAGTTCATCATCTTCTTCTCGGATGGGTAGATCGTGAATTGGTCGTCTGTGTCAAATCCAACTGAATTCAATTCATTGCTTTTCTGGCCTTTTGGGTGCATGACGGACGGACGACAGACAGATCTAGCCATACTCATGCCAGGAGAAAGGGAGCAAGTCAAACTCGCATGGTCACGTGCCCGTATAACTCTTGATTATCCCAATCCCCAATATCAATCGGCTGTTACGAGTATCACAACCGGCTCTCACCGCTTTCCTTCTCCTTGGCCACGAGGTTCCTCTGCGCCTCCCACACTTTATCCCAGATGCGCATGCCGCGGTCCCACAACTCATCCTCCTTGTCGTCGACCACGTTACCGTCCGCGGCCAGCCACCGGACATACCTCTCCCCGCGGATGGCGCCCCGACTGCCCTGGACGGGTTCGTCGCCGGCGAGGAAGCTGCCAAAGGGAGCCAAGAAGCGCTGGATCACACGCTTGTCTTCCTGGGTGAAGTCGGCGCGCCAGCCGCTTGCCCAAAAGATGGGGGCGTCGAGGCCGTGGCACACCCCGACCGAGGGGGAGACCCAGCGGTCGAGGTTCTTGGCGCGCCATGAAATCCGGTATCGGTGCACGTTGGTGGGCGGGAGGGGTTTGACGACGGCACCGCCAGGTCTCTGTTGTGGCGGGTGAAGCAGGATGTGCGTGAGACCCCGGAGCGAGGCGTGCACCTGTGCGTCCGCCACGATCTGGCTAAACACCTCAGCCCACTCGGCCGCGTTGGTCGAGTTTGTAGCCGGCATCGTGTACAGCGGTAACAGCGCCTTGACCACGTGTGCGGGATAGTAGTTGGCTAATTGGGTCATGAGTCCCTGGTATGACGAGGGCGGGTTGACGATCTTGTACAGCTCTTTCTCGTCGCAGACCTCGCCGAGAAAGACCGAGATGTTGTTCTCGGCGAGGCGTGTCGTGAACGAGCCCGAGTGCAGTGCTGAGAGGAACGTGCTGGGGACGAAACAGTCGTCGGTCGACGCGCGGAAGGTGTGCATCTTCATCTTGGCCAGGGACGCGATCAGGTCCTTGGCCGGAACCTGGCGCATGCGCTCGAGTTTCTCTTGCGGCCGGCTCGAGGATGGGATGCCAAAAATCGCGCAGAGATCGTTGAACTGCTGGGTCAGAACCGGTGAGGTGGTCGGATTCGGCTGGATCGCCACCGCGTTGGACCACAGGTACACTCTCCTGATCAGTCTCTGCTCCGGAGGCAGGAGAGTGTCGTAGTTGAGCTGGAAAAAGGTGCTGTTGGCGCCGGCCGACAGGCCCCCCACGGTGATGTTGGATGCGTCGCCGCCAAACAGGTGGATGTTCTTCGCCACCCATTCCAGCGCACACCGTTGGTCCCACAGGCCATAGTTTGATGGTGAAGCGTCTTCTTGGAGACTAGCCAGTTCGGATCCAGCCAGGAAGCCGAACAGATTGAGGCGGTAAGTTGGCGAGACGATGATGCGCGGTGTGGTACTGGCAATCAGGTCGAACGGGTCCGTGTCGTTCTGCTGCAGAGCGTCCCCAACCTGGAGCCAGCCGCCATGGATGTGGAACTGGACAGGCCACCCTTTCTTGGTCGGCGGAGCTGAAGCCGGCACCCAAATGTTCAGGTACAGGCAGTCTTCGTCCTGCTCATTCTCGACAGGCGGGGCGGCATTGGGATTTGCGATGGCGATTGAACCGTGGTCATAGTGGGGTTGAGGGCAGATGGGCCCAAAGCGCGTGTAGTCCCCCGGTGCGCCCTGTGAGCTGTTGAACGTAAAGTCCTGTGGCAAGGCTTGAGGTCGACGCCATCGACGGGAACCCGTGGGCGGCAGCGCGTAAGGGACTTTGGCGAAGCGATATAGGATCGGTTTTCCTGCCAGGTCCCGCTGCTCGAGACCTTTGAGTGAGCCACGGGATGTCTCAAGGATGTAAGGATGCGAGGTTGATTCTGTTGGACGCATTGTGATCTTGTACTCGATATCTCCTGTGCTCTTTCAGGTCGGTGTGTTTTCTCGCAGAAGATGCCAACCCAGAGATTCAACAATCTACTCTAGGTATGAACCTGAAGTACTTTCTTTACTGTCTCAGTGATCGCTGGATGGCGAGTCCTGTGCAGATATTCCTTCCTCGTTGTGGTTCCTCTGGCAAAATCTAATAGCCGTTCTCCTGCTAGATTTTAGTCACCCAACGGCAGAGGAAAGCGATGGAGGTGGAGATAGAAGGATCTATCGACTTGTCCCCATCCCCATGATGGAGCCGAGGACGACAGCAATTGCGCCAGGCGTTGATCTCCATCGGTAGTTGATTTAACCCCGCCGATAGCGGAAGGGGAAGAGCGGAGGCTTTCCGCCGGCATCAGCACCGAGGCTCCGGGGAAGTCGAAGTTGCTTGTGGGGGAAGCAATTACTTGTATTCCTCGATGTTGTCTTCATCTTTGATGAACGCCGAATACAGTATGGCCGAATTCCCTTGTATTTGGCAAAGTCCATGCCCTTCAGTTGAGAAAAGCACATCCAACAACAGACAGAGCAATGTGATGTGTCACGGGTGCATGGATCTGGTACGCCTTTGACGAGAGCTATCATCTTTGCCATCCCAGCAAAATGTACACTGGCTGGCGCTGAAGCCCACCAAGGTATGATGCCCGGCTAACTTCTGTCTCCAGGTTTGAGTAAGGAAGAAAAACACGGTTGAGGTGTACAGGGGAACAAACATCCATACTGGCAAAGAGTTGTCATGCCTGTTCGTAAATCAAATTCGGGTAACAAGAGCGGCGAGCTGGAGGAACATCCTTGTACTCTAGATACTCTGGGGTGAGGTCTAGCTGCAGCAAACCCATGAGGCTTGCAGTGGCCGCACCTCGCAATCTTGTCTATCATCGCTCCTGCATGGCACGCCAGAGCAAGGTTCGCATCGCATGCACGTTTGTTCCACATTGGCCTTTAATAAATTGACTTGGGGCTTGATAAAAGACGTCATGGCTTTCGGTCCATCGGCCTTGGGGGGCGGCACGGACGGGTGGCTTGATCGGTACGAAGATGAAGTCACAGTGGCTAAAGAACAGCCACATGTGGGTATATGCATGGGCCGTGACAATCGTTACTGGTCTCGCCTGAAGCTCTGATCGAGGACCAGGCTGACCAAGTATGCAACCTCTTACTGCGTCGTGCCATAGTGACAGACAGTGATATTCCTGTTCCGATTTCCCGAACCCAAGAGGGTCTGGAATTTTGTCGATGATCCGTGGGACAAATTAAGATCAGCGGTGAGCTGGCTGTCGAGGCAGATCATCAGGCTATCAGCTTCTGGACCGAGGAGATCCCGGGCTCGATTGTGACGATCCAAACAGGTTGAAACAGGCTCAAACGCTTTCGATTATTGGCCGGGATACAGGTCTGCACATGGAAAAGTCAATAAAACATTGTGACCAGCCATTGGATTTGACCTCAGCATTGGATCAAGTGAGAGCAGGAAGGTCGACTGACTTGCCGCCTGAGAGATATTTTGATCGTGTGAGGCTGATGGTCATCTTTGGGCCAGGTGACGGCGGGTTTCAACTGTCACTCGTAGGCCATCACGTAGCCGCCGGAAGAAGCACCAGGGCGGGCGAGCAAGGGCTATTTCAAGCAACTGTAGATAAATCACTCGAAACGGTCCAATGAACAGATGGAGTAGGGACCATTAGATAGAAGAAAAATCATGCCCAACAGATGAGGCAAACGGTTCGCAAATGACGAAACAGATTCGAGGAAGAAGATGTGAGTGTGGACTGATGTGATACGTTCCAGATGCGTCCGCATCTCCTTTGCCTGGTCGTTGTACTCGGGAAGGCCAGATTGGCACCCAGGGAAGTTTCCATGGTTAAAAGCAGGCCGAATCGAGCCCCAACAATCGAGTCGGACCTCGTTAAGTAAGCCAAGGAGAGGCCGACCACCGCCACCGGTTAAGCGGGGGGCTTTGACCTGCCCTAGCCTACCTAGGCCCTTCGGTACGTGCTCGGTGCCCAGGCACCTGTCTGAGGTCAGTGAGCTGTCCCTCGTGGGATAGTTCGCCTAGGCTTCAAACAAAAGGCAACCAACGGAATTTGACCAGGAATCTCATTTCTTTTCTGGGTTGCTGGATATGAGGATTCTATCACTATCCTCGACAACGTCTTCATAACCTTAGAATGAAGGCAGAGTGACACGGCAACAGAGCCAGTCACCCAGTGACCAAGACTGGTATGTGAAATATCCCATAAACCCGCCTTGGTAAAGATAGGGCACCCCGTACCGAGCACCCAAGCACTTGTTTAGGCATCCGCGGAGCATTTAAGCCTGTAGGTCAAGGGCGCAGGCGAAACTCTGCCCCCATCGGTGCCCCCATTTGCCTACTTGTATTTGCCCCTCTAACTGCCCCCTTCCACCCCTTCTGACCCAAGGACTTGACCCGCGGCTCCCCTCCTCGCCAATTATTGGCCACTCAAGGTCTCAGTTGCTAGCATTTCGGCTGCTTGTGATCAACTGTGCACGCCTTTCCCTTTTCTTTCCCTCATTTCATTCTCTCCCTCGTTTGCACTCCCCTTCGTTTCCCCCATCCCACCAACCTTCTCAAAACTGCTTCCTGTCCCTACTTCACAAACAACAGAGGGAACCTCGCCACAGCTTGATCGACTTGTGAGTGTCGACTCACTTGTCATCAAGCATCTCTCATCACTCTTCTACATTGAACACAAGTTCTGCACGGGGTTAGTCATCTCTTTCATCCAGTCCTCTTTCCCGCTTTACCCGCTTGGCTTTCCCTGTAACCTCAGCATCCTTTGTTCGCCCACACCGATTCATCCTCACCTTCACCTTTCACCTTCCCTCTTCACCTTTCATCCTCATCCTCATCTTCTCCCTCAAACCTTCACCTCCCTCTCCAGCTTCACTTCTTCCTTGCCCTTGTTACTTCCACTCCTTGAAATTTGCAGGACCATCCTGCCGATTCAGTCACGTCGTCGAGACGGTGAAGACTGCCGCGAGTGGGTTTGCTAATCAGGGTGGAAACAGGCTGAGACCAATTCAATCTCTCCTCAGCAGCCACCGACTTTTCCAGCAAACACCTCGACCCCCAAAATACCCCTCGGATCCCATTATCCTCATCCCCATCGAATAAGTCATCGCAGCGTGGCTGCTCGTCGATCATCAACATGACAACCATGGTACGTGAAAGAGTTCGCTTTGGTTGGGTTCAGATTCAAAGAAAGACACGGCTGCAAAAGAGTTGGACTCCTCAAGATTGTGGTGGACTGCACGCCTCTGTCTTGTATTTGCTAACCTGCATTTTGCTAGGATTTGCGTGTTGGTAACAAATACCGCATCGGTCGAAAGATTGGCAGTGGCAGTTTCGGAGACATCTACCTGGGCACCAACATCATCTCAGGTGAAGAAATTGCCATCAAACTCGAATCTGTCAAGGCCAAGCACCCTCAGCTCGAATATGAAGCGCGGGTATACAAGTCTCTTGCTGGTGGTGTTGGAATTCCGTTCGTCCGCTGGTTTGGAACCGAATGTGATTACAATGCCATGGTTCTTGACCTGTTGGGCCCCAGCTTGGAGGATCTCTTCAATTTCTGCAACCGCAAATTCTCCCTCAAGACCGTCCTCCTCCTGGCCGATCAACTCATCTCTCGCATCGAATACATTCACGCCAAGTCCTTCATCCACCGTGACATCAAACCAGACAACTTCTTGATGGGTATTGGCAAGAGAGGCAACCAGGTCAATGTGATTGACTTTGGTCTGGCCAAGAAGTACCGCGACCCCAAGACTCATTTCCACATCCCATACCGCGAGAACAAGAACTTGACCGGCACGGCTCGTTATGCCTCGATCAACACTCACTTGGGGGTGGAACAATCTCGCCGTGACGACATGGAGTCTCTAGGCTATGTCATGCTCTACTTCTGCCGTGGTTCTCTTCCATGGCAAGGTCTCAAGGCGGCCACCAAGAAGCAGAAGTATGATCGTATTATGGAGAAGAAGATGACCACTCCTACCGAGGTCCTGTGCCGTGGTTTCCCTAATGAGTTCGCCATCTACCTCAACTACACCCGCTCTCTCCGCTTCGATGACAAGCCAGACTATTCGTACTTGAGGAAGATTTTCCGGGATCTCTTCGTTCGAGAATCGTTCCAATACGACTACGTCTTTGACTGGACCGTCTACAAATACCAGAAGAATGCTCAGGCCATCGCCCAAGCTGCTGGCAACCAGACCACGGGGGAGGACGAGGAGAAGCCACGACGTGGTGCCCATCCTGCTACAGCTGCTGCCACTGGAGCCCCTACCCCTCAACATGCCTCGCAGGCCGGCAAGCCCGCGGCTATTTCCAGCTCTCGACGCAAGGTCATCGAACGCGGTGCTAGCGGTAACGACCAGGGAGGAAGTGACAGGATGTGAGTACTGAAACCTCAAGGTTCCCATGTAAGGGATCTCCTCTGCGTTTTGCTTCGGTTTGCGTGGAGGTTTATCATGGCATCTGACTAATGCGCTAGTCTTCGACGTTAGGCTTCGTTCCGGTACAAGGATAACCACTGGCAACGGCGATTATCGTTGAAACGGAATGACGGCTTGGTGTTCTTTGCCAACTGACCTTGTTCCACCAACCTCTTCTCGAGGACCGCTGTCGGTCTTCCAGAACACAAAACACACCATGGGTATGTCGGATCCGGCGCGGGGTTTGCTCTAGCACATGGCAGATCCGGACCGGGAATTGTGAGGACCTCACGGCAAAACAAACTTTTACCTGAATGGCTTTTACTCGGCTCAATTCCTACATGCACTACTTGCACGATTACCTACGACTTTGATGGGGCGTCGGTCAACCTTTGTTTGACGAGCAACTCTATGCATGAGACATCAGACCTAGACGAAAGTTTGGCGACATACGACACGGCAGCATCAGTATGATCAATTGCTGTTCCATTGAGACAGGATTGACGACGGACTCGATTTCACGATCGTCCTGCTCTACCACGATGGATCACCACCACCTCGACACGTAGACCTAGTTATTCCAGAATCACCACCGACCATCCCTCAACACCTCGGCACGTTTTCCTTTATTGTCTTGGCTTCACGCTTTATGCTCACCATTTCGAGTACTGCTTCAGAGGAAGAAGGGCATTGGGGATGGAAGAGATGCAACCGCAAGGGACGGCCAGCCCGTCCAGTCATGGCCAAGCGTTTTGATGATGTGCGGCCGGGGCTTCCGAGCGGGAGGGGAAGAAAGCAATCTTGAGGCAAAGATGGCGAAGGACTTGTAAGGGGCCGATTCTGGGGAGGCATATGAACAGTAACTCATTGCTCTGGCGGAAGCAACATAATTAGTGGCGATGCAAAGGAGTCTCTGCTCTTTGACTCGACTAGCTAGTCCAATTCATATCAATGTGCTACCAAACGAAGCGAAGGCGTAGTTCACACAGAATTTCGTAGTTCAGCAGATGCCCACACTTGGTCTGTGTACGAGGGCGAAGCAAGTGTGGATTCGGTACAGCTATGGACACTCATTTGTATTTGCATGGTAAATATTGATGTAATATTTGTAGGTACTTTACTAGGTATTTAGTAGGTACAGCGCTGTACCGGGTATAGGCCATAAGTGTGGCTACCCACCTCCCATATTCCTCAGTCACTCACTTACGTTACAACTTTCCATCCTACACGCCTCTTTACAACACATATATTGACACTATCTACTTGTATTAGCCTCACAACGCTTCAGACAGTTCTTCCAGCCACCCGGATAGCTACTCCCTGAACTTCTGGGGCTTCCTTTGTCGAGACTAGTTCGTCTATCCTCGCTTACAAACATTCGTGATCTTGGTTACTTGGCAGCTGCGCCACTCAGGAGCTGCAATCACAGCACCCGGAGCAATCGCTGCTGGCCCTGGTGCCGACCACGCCGACCTCGCTCGAGAACGTCAAAGCTTCAGAGCCGATTCAACCCAAAGTCAGCGTTTGCGACGGAGACACGTGAGGGTGAGCTTTGCAGCATAGCGATCAAGCCCCTCGGCCCCAGGAATGGCGTTCTGAAACACCACACTTTGTTCCCGGTTCCTTGTAGTTGTTCCTCACCGACTTCCCCAGCGGAGAGCACCTCAGAACCTCCTAGGTCCAACCTACCAACACACCTCTCCTCGCCACACAGACAACGACCTGTTGGTGAGTCCTGCCCCAGCAACTGCGCATACCTCGACCTTTTGAGCTGAGGAAATAATCCAGAAACGGAGCAGCTAAAGAGAACAAAACAAAGCTGATTTTTACGTGGCCCAGGGGTTCATTCGAGCCGGACGGGAAGCAGACGAACCCTGCGTTGCGCTCCTCAAAGAGTTCTTTTCTAGCTTTCCACCCGTGTCCCTTTCGCCACTGGTTGTATCGGAGTAAGTACCAATTGATGGGTGTTTTACAAGCTCTGTCTTTCTTGCCTTGTCGCGGATCCGCTGGGGCGGTGGGATGTCGCATGCCGCCAGACCCAGCCTTGTGCGATCGAGGAGATGTTGAGGGGTCGAGGGACGGGAAACAAGTGCTTCCCAATATTCCTGGGAGAGGTGTTCGAGTGAGTCACTCTTTGTTATTCTCCCCTTTCCCTAGAATATCCTTCTGCCTGGTGTTATAGCTACTGCGCACGCTATATACATCGTAACCACCATTTTGCTGGGCAGTGACGTTGCTCTTGGTGGTACCTGGAACGCCATCCTAGATGGATACAGGGGTATTGGACTCATTCGCTAATATAGAACTTTGTCAAAATCCAGATTGTCAACATTTTCCCCGGTGCAATCGCCGTCGCCAGAATCAAGCTCTTGCTAAGTCTCATAGAAGGACAGCTGACTCGAGTGCTCTGATGCGCCAACGGAAGTAACTACGTGGTCGATTCAACAAAACCAACAACAACACGATCCTTGTTTTAGTTGTTACATTGTCAAATGCTCAAGATTGACTGACTGATAATACCGGCTGCCCCAGATCCGAGCTTGTTTGTCATCCTGAATTGACCAACGGTCGGCCAAATCCAATTCCAACCGCATCAAGCCGGGTCGTCCAGAATGCCTGTCGAACTGCGCAAACGCCCTCCCCCAAAGGAGCCAGCTGCCCCACCCCCGCCAGCGAAACGAGGGGGCAGTAGCAGCAGCAGCAGCACGGTAAAGAAGCTCGCCGGTAAGGCCAAAGCCGCCGTGACGGGGATCGGGTCGTCGAAGTCAACCAAAAAGAAGGCTGGGCAGGATGCGGCCAACACCTCTGCCGCCATTCCCGAAACCGTCCCGGCCACCGCAGGCGTCAGCGACGAAACCAAAGCAGAGCCAACGGCGAACGGGAGCGCCGTCCCTGCAAAAGCAACTGCCTCCGGGAAGCTGAGTGTGGGTGACAAGATCGACCTGGAGGGCTTTGGCGGCACGGTGCAGACGCACGACGGAACCAGCGTGACTGTCAAAGACTTGGTCGACAAGAGCGGCGCCGGCATCGTCATCTTTACGTACCCAAGAGCGAGTACGCCGGGTTGTAAGTTCAGTCATATCCCCCGCCTTTGCGTCATTTTACTTCCACTCCCGACAGAGACAATAGCGAGGTCTGGTGAAGCTGGATTGATCAACTGATCGACTGATATTTCTTACTGTACAGGCACCAACCAAGCTTGTCTCTTCCGGGACAATTATGCACCCATCACGGGTGCATCATTCGCTGTGTATGGATTGAGCACAGACAGTCCCAAGGCGAACACGACGTTTGCAACCAAGCAGAAGTTGCCATATCAGCTCTTGGTAAGTCCCTTCCGTACCACTTTTCGACGTCCACCCATCTCTTTGGAGTACTAATTGAATGCTAGTGTGACTCCAATGCGACTTTGACCTCTGCCATTGGCATGAAAAAGCCAGGGCCCGGCAAATCTACCACCCGCGGAGTCGTCGTCATTGATAAACAGGGAACACTCCGCCTCTGGGAGCAAGCCGGCCCTGCCAAGACGCTCGAAGTAGTTTTGGAATATATCAAATCTCAGGGTACGACTGAGACGGAGGCTCCCGCTGCAGTGGCCGCACCACCTGCAGATGAGCCAGTCGCGTCTGAGAATGCAATGAAGCTTGCAGACCCAGACACCAAAATGGATGAGGTGCCGCTTGTGAGGACCCCCAGCAGAGCGGAGCAGGAGGCCGCTGAGACAGCGGCAGAAGTGGGCGAGACAGCGGCGAAGATCGATGCTGCTGAGGAAGAAGCAAAGCCATGAGAGGCTCTGCTTTGCCTTGTCCAAAATAGCAGAGGTGCAGGACTGTTGGTTTGCTTAATGTGTCCTTGCAGCGGTGATTATGATAGTTCCTTGTCGGCGTCCCAGGCGCATTCGGTGTCAATGAGTATTGTTTCTTGTCTTAAATGGTTTGTCCTCGTCTCCTTCAAATGTTCCCAATTCCCGGATACCAAGCTCTCCCAATCCTCTGGATCTCCGCAATGAACTTTTTGCTTGTGATTTCCGGGCTCTTCCCTCCGTAGTTGGCTATCTGCAAGGGCGTCCTGTCATCAGGCATGTAGAATGGATTCAACATGAGATGGATGTATGCGGTCTGTACGGCACGGAAAGCTGGTTTCAGATCTGCGTCTCTCAAGCCCACGGCTGCAGGTGGGAACCGTCTCTTGTCTTTTGCCTGTTCCTTCCCACCGTCTTCGTCGGACGAAGAGGATGGAGGTCGCCCCATCATGTCCACCACGATGATGAACTTGATCCCCGTATTTGTCAGCCAGCCGTAGCACGAGAGCCGGTCATCGATGGCCTGGAGCAGTCCCAAGTCGGAATCGAGCAATTTGGTGGTGCGAGCCCGCAGGTCGAAGATGTCGAGGCACGAGTTGAGGAGGAAGAGGAATTCGAGATCGGCGTTGGCGGCCGTGTCGTGGGGAGGAAAGAGGGAGATGTGGAGAGGTTGGTCATGTTTGCCAATGACGCCGATGCATGCTATCGACGGTGACGAGTTGAGGGCCATGGAAGCACGACCCGTCGAAACTGATTCTGGTGAGTTAAGAGAAGAGCAATTTATATGCTCGTACAAGCAGACAAGCAGACAAGTTGACAAGTCGCATTGGAGGCTCTTCCCCAGATATTGCCCAATCAGGCAGACCGATCTCGCTGTCCTGCCCGGTACGCATTCCAGCCAATGAACGAGCTCGCAATTCGCCGCGCATTTCGACATCATAGATTCTCTACCCGACGACACACAGCAGTTTCGCCTCTTTCCCTCCCTCGACGCCCTTCAAGTCTTTTCCCTTCAACGTCCAATTCTCTCCTCTCTTTCATCACCTGCGACAATTGCGGAGCAAGATGATGTCTCTGTCGAGGACAGTCGCTCCTCGAGCGCTGCGAGGTAAGCAGAATGAAGCTCCCTGGCCACAAAAACTCCCGGAAGTCTCGATTGACAAAATCAACCGTACAGCGTCCAATGTCCTCCCATACTCTCTCATTCGCGCCGCCCCCGCCGCTTCGATCTCCTCGACCTCTTCGAAACCCGCCACCTCGGTTGTTTCGCAGGCTCCCACAGCTGGTGGCGATGCATCACGACTCCCGGTCACAGGTGGCATCCGTCGTGAAGTACCCCTCCCGTCACAAGAGCAGAAGAAAGGAGCGATGCAATATGCCCTCACCACACTGGATCAGATCGCCAACTGGGCTCGTCAGGGCTCACTGTGGCCCCTCACCTTTGGTCTGGCGTGCTGCGCCGTCGAAATGATGCACCTCTCCACCCCTCGATACGATCAGGATCGTCTCGGAATCATCTTTCGCGCGTCGCCCAGACAGAGTGATGTGATGATTGTGGCAGGAACACTCACCAACAAGATGGCACCGGCGCTGCGACAGGTGTATGACCAGATGCCGGAGCCGAGATGGGTGGTCTCAATGGGGTCTTGTGCCAACGGTGGAGGTTATTATCACTACAGCTACAGTGTGACGAGGGGGTGTGATCGCATTGTTCCTGTCGACATCTACGTGCCGGGCTGCCCGCCGACGAGCGAGGCATTGATGTACGGCATTTTCCAGTTGCAGAAAAAGAGTATGTTGGGTTTGCAATTCCTTTGTTACCAATCAAACTAACCAGTGATGATAGTGAGACATACCCGTATCACAAGACTGTGGTACAGAAAGTAAGGGCACTGGAGAAAAGCCCCGAGCTATAAGCATTTGCAGTGGTTGTGTCGTGGCATGGGCGTTCTTGAAGTGGGTTAGAGCATCTACTTTGCTTGTGCGTGTGCGTTATGCTCGAGCACGCACACATCATGTACAGAATGAACTATTTGTTCGATGGATGATATCTGCTCCGGGCATTCATCTTGGGCATAAGCGTCCATACCGAGCTTCTATGAGCTCACTTGACCAACACCGGTCAAGCATGGCGTTGGAGTGATTTACAATCCCCAGCTCATACATATACTGATCAATACACTTCGCTGGCTGATCTGCAGACGTGCTTGCTCGTGAACCACAAACGGCACAACACGGCCCGGCACACCAAGTGTTTTGTTCATTGGTGCTCTTGATACATGGTTCAAGAGGGGGAGTCTGGCCTATCCCATTCCATTCTATCCTGTCCAGGCTTGACGCCCATCGCCATTTTCATCTCCATCTGGATCTGGTTGTCAATCTGGTTTCTACTTGTTTGTTGTCCGTCATTGATTTTCCAGATGGGTTGATTGTTCCTATTGCTTTTATGGTGATTATGGCTATGGCTATGGCTATGACCTCGCCGTGGCTTTACCATGACTTTTTTTTGGTTTGTGGCTTTCCTCTAGCTTCGCCATGACTTTGCTGCGGCTTCACTATTAGGACCACGTCTTTCCTCCTCTTCTCTTTTCTTCATTCAAGGCGAGTCCCATATATCCATGTACCTCGTATAGACTCGAAGACTACAAGTACAGGTATGCCCAGATGCCCAGATTCCTCCCGTGTCCAGATGACCCTATGGTGTGGTTGTACAGGGACAGTAGAGTAGGGTGACGTACAGGAGAGTAGAGCTCCAGCGTCATGGTCATGGTGAGGGTGGTGAGGGTGGTGTTGATGGTGGTTGTGAGTACTACCTACAGAAGGTACGAGGTATGTATGTACTTGGTATGGATGGATGGATGGATGGATGGCCCGTTCACTATCGCGAGCTGAACCACAGACCTAGCCAGCGTGGTGGACATATCGAGTACAAGCATATCTACATAGACAGAGTACAGAGGCAATAGACCCGTCCTTGTTAACTCTACGGCGTCACGATGTCGTGGAGTTTGAGACCTTTGTTGAGGTTCTCTCGATCGAGATAAAGGAAAAAAAAAGGGGGTGGAGGCTGAAAGCGGACTCATTGAGGCAAGGGTGGTCAAAGAATACATATACATTCATTCATTCATTCAACATGCATCTAATCCTTGACCGGAAGCGTGATGGGTACAGCTAGGATAGATGTTGGAGACACCACCAGCAGAGCCCGAGCCCCTTTGTCCAAGAAACAAGGACGTGGTGGGAAGTCGGGCGAGGCTCTGAGATGCGAACCGTAGCACCTCGACATACAAGTACAAGTACGTACAGTCATTGCAGGTGAGTCTCTGTCCATATTCAATGCGGTCTTGGAACCACCATCACGTCTGTGAGAGGTGGCTGTCGAGACTCTGTAAAACCTTTCATGCCATCATTCCCACTGCTCCCGCCAGGATGCCTCCCACGCCAACACCACCAAGAACCATTCTATCCAAACTTGGTCTGGGAGCAGCCGCGCCGGTAAAGCTAGACACAACAGCAGCTGTGCTGGTGGCAGATGTGGCTGACAGTGTGGTCCCCGTCGCGGAACCGCCATTGGTTACCAGGGGCGCCTGGTATGAGTATGTGATATCCTGCAGGCTTGCGGGGCACGAAGGCAGGGTCATGCTGGAGACGGGTGTCGGCGGCGAAGACAGGCCGGGGATGCTTGAGTAGAATTGGCACAAGGTCAAAGAGCTGGTGACGCTGGGCGACGGCGCCCATGTCCTAGTAGTCGGGCCGGCAATTGGGGTTGTCGAGGTCGTCTCAGGGGGAATCGTGTAGGAGAAGGTCAACAAGCTGGAAGGGCAGAGAGGCAGCGTCAAGGATGTCGAATCCGCTGAGGAGAGGCCCGGTATGCTCGAATAGAACTGGCACAGGGTGTAGCTGCCACTCGTCGCTGACGAAGACAATGCCGCTGCGGTTAGGGGAGTGAATGCCACCATCACCGCCGTCGTGATGATGGCGCCAATGCGGATAGAAAAGACCATTTTGACTGTAAGTAAGTATGGATGTGATATGTTCTGAAAGTTCTCTTTGGGGTAAACAGGTCAAGTTTTTTGATTGGTGTGAGTATGAATCAAAGACTCCTACGACCATTGATATATATGTACTATCGTATACCTCTTATACTGCAGGACTTCAATCAGGCAGCCGTCAAAAACACCGGGTGTGGGCGTGTGTGGTGACATTCATTCGTTGGCAGGTTACCAGGGGAACAGTTTTCCTTGTACAGAGACCATCCGGATAGAGCAAGACAAGCACGGGACAAGGTAGTAGGATATTACTACTTGCAGTAGCACATACGGGTAGTAGATGGAGGTCAGGGACTGAGGACGGAGTTTGGCCGAGACATGATAGACGCGAGTGGCTTGGCTTGTTTTGCGAGTCATTGGCGTATTTGAATAGTTTGCACAGTTTTTGTAGTTTGTGTCGTTTGGTCCCCGAGACCTCAATCACGCAATCCCCCTGCCAAAAAACATCACTTGCGCCAGGGGACCTGCTTCGCTGCCCGAAAGAAGGCCCTAGAGGCTACTTCCTAGGCGCCTGGACACCTAAAGATAGTCCATTCCGCCATCTCACCCAGGCATAGACTTCAGTGGCTCAGGAACCATCCTTTAACGAAAGAAGCATTTGCTTACCAATGCCCACTCACAATCACCCCCCTAAACTACCCAGCTTCCGCCCCGGACCTTCAGCACCAGGGGCAAAAGGCACTTGTTCGCTCTCTCACCCACCACCCCTCCCCCTCCCTTTCCTTCACCGCCCCCTTCGGATTGCGGTGCTCAGTTATCCCATGGCGCGATGGGTTGAGCATGTTTACTAATGAACCAGAGTGTCGAGCATGTTTCACGCGACCTATCCAAGCGTAAAACACTCCCCTTTTGTTTGGTTTCCTTTCTCTTGTTTGAACCCTGAATTGATTGTTCCTGTAACAGCGAGAGCTGAGCTGAAATCTCATATCCTTGTGAACCACTCCTGTAGACAACCCGCATAAATACCTCAGCCTCACCACTTACCGTTCCTGGTGGTGTTTCGGCCTCACCTCACCCAACCCCTCCCTTCACAGCGAACCGACTGCGGTAACATATAAAGACACCAGCACCATCCCCTATCCACTTCGACAACTTGCTCTCTCGCGTACATAGATACACACCTCTCAAATCACTCACGAGTTCAATATATCCTCGCGACACCAACCATCTTCCCCACACACCCTCACTGACCCATCGCGCAATCCGAGCGAGACAACATGTCTGAACACCACTACAAATTCAACGTGACCATGACCTGCGGAGGCTGCTCCGGCGCCGTCGAGCGCGTGCTCAAGAAACTGGACGGTGAGTCTAGCGAACGCCATTTGCATTATGCAATCCAAGAGTTGTCTCCAAGCTGCGCCCATCCTTCCCCTCCATTGTCTTTCCCTATTCATTCTCTTCTTCATTCTCTCTACACCTCCCCAAGTCAGACGCCAATTGCGAGACTAACGTACACTTCTATTCTCCCTGTATGTACAGGTGTCAAGGACTACAAGGTGTCGCTGGACACGCAGACCGCCGACGTCACCACCGAAGACTCCGTCTCGTACGAGACCGTGCTCGAGAAGATCAAGAAGACCGGCAAGACGGTCAACTCGGGCGAGGCCGACGGCATCACCATGTCCGTGTGAAATCCCACAAAAGGACTTGAAATGAAGGGCATGTCTCCAAAGCAACCAGTAACACCAACAAAAAAAGGCAGTGTGCGCTGGTGGGGGGACTCGGCGCTGGCGAGCTGGAAGAACGGAAACGGGATGCCAGGTCATATTGACGGGTTATCGCGGCCGAGCAGCGAGGACGCTGTATCATCTGGGGTTTGTGATAAGTCGCTTCAATGGAGATATGGGCGGCTGTGGGAATGATATTCGATCCTTTCGCGGAGCAAGCAATAGAGCAACTACAGTGCACACACAACACTTGAACTTTGAAGTTTCTGTCATTGAGTATCGCTTACACCCAGCCCTATCTAATGGCGCGCTGCAGTTTCACAACTTGCGCATCCAAGTCTCAGCATATATAGAACCTTGGAAGGAGAAACCCCAAGATCAATACCCTGTTGTCATTTCACAGCTGTGCACAAGAAGGCCGAGTGTTCCTCCCAAACTCCATCTTGCAAGCCTCCGATCATGATCTAGCGTAATCGAAAAGCTGGGTATCTTGATCAAGCATAACATTACAAGGACAAGATAATAGTATCCGGTCGTAATCCGTTGGTAGTCCACATTCGGTAAGTCGACATAGAAGTGCGCCGCAGTCTTAAAGCATGCAGACATTACCCACCCATTTGCGATGCAGGAATCGTAGGAAACAATACTTTTGACACTGGTGAAGCAAAGTAGCCGTGACCGAGTAGAGATTGGTCTACAGAAGGTCGAGTAGGTGAAGATGTGGAAGATGCTGGTTGCATAGCGTCGCGTTCTGAAAATACCTGTTCCATGTATCAGCGCTGTCAGTAGAAAATATCCCGGGAACGTATGCTCAAGCAAGTTTCTGCCTTGAAGTCTTACCGTCGTCCCGGAATCTCTGCGATGTATGTCTTCAAGGGATCCGGACAGATGGCGCTCGAATTTACCGCTTCAGCGTGCATACGAATGCAGAGACGCTGTTACCCGATCATACTCGGGTAAACGCTGTGGAGGTAAAGGTTGTAGAGGTTCACGACCATTCGATCCATCAGGGTAAATGTACCGTACACGAGGCTCTTGCACGACAGGTTGCACATATTGTTCACGGACAAGCCTCTCTGGCTCCCTAGCAATCCTGCTGTCATGTGTGCGAGACTCGCCAATAGGCTCATAGACTTGACCAAACGGAAGCAATGGTCGTTTTCCCAGATCCCGAGTGGGTCGGATCGACTCAAACTCATTGTGGCTAGAAACCGCGTAGTTTTGCGAATGATAATGGCGCTGCATCGTGGTCGTCTCGCGAAGCTCATGAGCGGCATGTAAGGGTTCATACAGACGTACAACAGCATGAGGAGAATCATGAGCATCGTAAAGGGGGTGACGATCAGCATAAGCAGCTTCCCGGGTAGAAATTCCCGGTTGGAGACGTGGGCTTGATCGATGCTCACCATAATCAGCCGTGCGGATTTCAGAATGGGCAGCCACTGGCTGAGGAGGCATATAGTGACGGTCAACAAGCCTGCCAGGAGACTCTCTTCTGTTCACGTGGCGTTCTTGGACTGGTTGCACCTCGTCCAACCGACGTCTCTTAGGCGTTTGGCTGGAGCTGTGCGTTAGGTCAATATAGGCAGCATTCCTCGCCGTGCGCCCAACTTCCCGTCCTGCGTTAGTTTCACGAGGCTCAGGATGCGTTTCAAATGGGTTTCGTCGTAAGCGAGGAGACATATACGATCCATCGGGTCCTTCGATCGACGGTAGTACCGTACCATCACCTCTCTCGAAATCTATGTTGCGCGACTCCCGTCGGGTGAAGTCTTGAGGTGAAGAAGGGCGGGTTCTAACTTGCGCTCCTGCCATTGTCGGTGCCGGATATTTGTGAAAGTGTTGTGGGGTATCTGCATGATTTGCTCGGGACTTAGTGTCGATACGTTCATATAAAACACCATTTGCGTCTCGGATGTATGTTGGTGGACTTGGTTGACGACTTCGAATTGGTGGCTGTCAAGACAGTCAGTGAGCAGCTATCGTGTCTGCCTATCGACAGACAATGTTTAGAGAGCATCTCCGGAATTCCTCTTACCTCGTAATCCGCTCTTGCTATGCTTGCTGGAGGAGCTTGGGTGTGAAATACCTGGGCAGGTGAGTGAGTGGGAGGGTCAAGAGGCACAAGCATGCGTGGTGCTGGAGCCGGCTCAGGCTCATAAATCCTCTCAAGAACAGCAACTGGTCCCTGAGCGACGTTGGAGTGATAGTCTCGCTTAGCTTGTTCCCAAATGGCATATCTGCTTTGATTGCGCCGAGCAATTTCTGCGTTAGACGGTCTGTAGCTGCGAACCGCGGGCGGATAGTCCAAGATGCGTTCAGGCTGTGATTGTGGCAAAGGCGAAATGGCGCGACCAGGGCCAGGACCATAGGAAGTGCTTGGGAGTTCTTCCACCTGGACACGGTCTTGGTCCAAGGGTTCGACGCTGTCCGAGTCGCTCTCAGATGCCTCCTCGTCAGAGATGACAATGACCTCTTTGAGAAGATCATCTGCGCCGCCTGTGGTGTTCTCGAGAGTAGTGTCTTCACCCCCACGCCACTCAACCAGCTTGACGAGTGTCTCCTTTTCCACCATATGACGAGCCTCGTTGTATGGCATCTGCCTCAGCAACTTGTCATATTGGGTGTAGTTATGCCGGATGTGGGCAACCACGGATAGCTGGGCTCTTCGGACAAGTGGAAGTTCGTTTGCGGTACCGACCCTGTGATCGCCCAGCTGAAATGCAGTCTTAATAATCTGGTACAAATCATTGTTCGGGATGTTGGGGAACAAATCTTTGATGGTCTGTTTGGCATCAGTGTTGATGGTGATCTGATCCTTCTCTTCTACTGGGCGTTGACCGTCCGTGTTGCGATACACTTTGCTGAAAAAGGATTCATCGTTCGACTCGTCAACGACCTTTCCTTCATTGTTTAGGCGGATGCCGTAGTGAGCACAAACTTGGTCGACAACTCTCGTGGGAAAATGGAAGCCAACGCGATGTACCTCCCTCGACAATTCATGACGCGCAGCATGTGGGGTGACCTTGAACGTCAGTGAAACACGCTCGTACATTTCTCTATTAAAAAAAAACTGGCTTACCGTCACGGCGTAGATCTTGTGGTCGCCACGGCGAGCGAACTCTTTCAACGCACTGGTGAGCTCAGGGTTTCCGGCGGGGATGAAAGTGTATCCAGGCGGGGGACGCTCTTGGAATGATATCTTATCTCGGTTATAAGCACTGGCAATATGGCCTCGACGAAACTTTTCTGCTCTTACCACTGTGGGCAGTTTCTTCTCTTGAGGATCCCCTCCAATTGCAACCTTGTGTCTCTTTTGCTTCGCTACCTGGCTACCTCGGGTCGAGGCACCAGCAGCACCCTTTTTGGCCACCTTCTGCTTCACTCTTGCCATCTCAACTCTCAACCTACAGGGGAAAACCGAACAATTGGGCTCGCAACATAGGAGAACAGGGGACGAGGGCTCTAACAGACTGCAATCAGTTGACAGAAGACGGGAGAATATCGAGCAAGCAGTTTCTTGGCTCGTGCGACGTTGTTTTAGGCGAAAGTTGCTACAGTCTTCACCACAGACTTGGGCAAGCGGTCAGCTGCTCAAACGCGGCTTGACGGAAAGGCGCCACAGGTCTTCAGGCGCAGGAACTCTGCGTGAGATCGAAACTTGTCCAAGGGGCGAAGTGGAAGGTCCGGCAACTTTGGCATGGAGAATCAACGAGTGTGTGAGCCTCGACAGATGCGGGAACTGGGAGGTGGACGTGATGAATGGGAGGAAGGCGGAGAGATGAATGAGGAAGGCGACCTGCGCTGGTATTTTAAAAGCTGAGAGGTTCGCCGTCCGACTCTGAAAGGCTTGGCGGGCGCTTGGTTACCGCCTCATATGACGGCCAAATGCTGACACGTCAACACGCCACGTCGAGTTTGCGCGGTCAGTGCCGCCGCTTTAGAAAACTAGTCACCTAGAATGACCAATGGAACCGGCAGACCGGTTAGCTAACATGTGATCCTGGTATTGGCTAGAGCGGCTACGGAGAATCATTTAGCCTCAAACACACTATTGATTCACCGTAATGTCACGCGTCCAGTTCGACTACTTCATCACTTCCCCTTCCTCCTCGCGACTCATACCATTACAAGCAACTTGTTGAAGGCCTTTGTGACACCCTCAATATCCTGCAAGATCATCTGATGACCGCTTTTGACCAACACAACCTCCGATGAGCCTCCCACCAAATTACTAATGTCCTTCGACCTCTGTGGTGGGCTGATCACGTCCTTGTCACCAGCCACAAACACAGCTGGACACTTGATCAGGCTGTAGTCGGGGTCACAGTGGTCGTCGCTGGCGACCAACTCTGCCGTAGCTGCATACGCTTCGGCAGAGCAAGAGGCCACTGCGTCATACACCTGCAGCTCGTGCGATCGGTCGTTGACGCGATCCGCTGGAAAATTCGACTTGACTGCGATCTGCGCAACTTCCTCCATACCCTTTTCCCGCGCTGTTTTGGCAAGATCTCGCATACGCTGCTGCGCCGGTGGGATTCCTCTCACGGATCGACCTGCTCCCAGAAGTAAAAGTCCTGTCACCTCGGACGGGTATTGGGCAGCATAATGTAAGCTGATGATACCGCCGAGAGAATGACCAACGAGACAGACTTGCTCCTTGCTACTGTTGTGTTTGATACCATTGCTCGTTCCTGCTGTCGAGGTTGAAGAATGTTCCTGAATATGTGTGATGAGATCGTGTAGGTCGGAGACATATCGCTCGAATGAAAGAGGCGCTCCTGGGTGCAAGGGTGTCTTTCCAAATCCTTCGATGTCGATGCTGATGATTTGATAATCTGGTGGTATGAAGGGAATTAGGTCTCGGAATGTCTTTGTTGAGCCTCCCAGTCCATGCAACAAGACAGTGAGAGGCCCTTCCGTGTTGCCGGACGAAATATAGTGGACGTCGGTACCGTTCAGTGTGAGGTGTCTTCTCGACTCATGCGGCTGCATCTTTGTGATTCTTGGGGTCGTGAGATGTGCCTGTTCTAAACCAACAGCAGCATCCAAACACCACATGTATGTTGACTCACTGACACCAGGACTCATCCAGCCTGCGACACCCATACCCAAATTGGGGGACTTGACTTCGGCCGAGCTCCACTTTGAACCCCGGCCGAAGACGATACTGTTGATAGAGTCGATCCAATCTTTTCACGAGCAGTTTGCGCCCACACCTTCAGCAATACACTCGGCCGATGGACAGTGGCCGAGTGGTGCAGTCATTTATGGTTGGTTGGGGTTCGGCGCTTCTTCTTTTCGAGCGAAATTCGATGGATTGAAAAGGGATTCTCGATGAACCGCAATTGCAGCAATGCAGCACCTTGTCTCCCAATAACAGCATTAAATCTCTGCCGCAATGGTTGTCGAAGCTCTCACCGAAGTGATTGCCCCGGAAGGCGTCAAGGCAAGGCTCGTTGCAACTAGGGCGTCGGATATCACGCTCCCACACGCCGAAAAGACACATGGGCGGATTGTCCCTCTCATCCATCCGGCTGAAAGCAAAGTGGACTTTGGAGCTGAGGTATACGGAATAGATTTAAACAAGCTGACTGATGCGGATTTCGACTTGATCTCTGGGGCGTTGTACAAGCACAAAGTGCTGATTTTCAAAGAACAGCCGGAGATGCTCAAGCCGGAACAACAATACCTGCTGACTGCGAATTTTGACCCGGACGAGACGACAGGCGGCTTTGCACATGGCGCCGATCCGTTTCTCACGTCGCACAATGGCGTCAACATCTACGGTATTCAGAGCAGACCTGCCATCCCGGTTCAACCACAAGTGCATATATTGGGACGAGGCGAAGTTCCAAAGGATCATTATCAGTTTCCTCCTGGGTTCAAAGTCAAGGGTATCGATCATCGCGAATTCCATCTTCCACCCCACATCCCCAAAGAAGAACGCGAGAAAGGAGCCAGCAGGTTCTACCAGTGGCATTGGGATGGATCCTTGTACAATATCCCGCCTCCACGGGTAGGCTGTTTGTTGGCAGTCAGAACTCCAAAGGGTCCGGATGTCACTGTCCGCTGGGACGACGGGACCGGGACGGAGATGAAAATCCCGCCTGGAGCCACTGCCTATGTTGCCGGATCCAGAGCTCTGCAACTCCTCGACGAAGAGACAAGACAGCTCGCGTTTCATTCTCGGATCGAGTATGCGCCCCACGCCTTCAAATGGATGTCGACGGCCCACAGCGCCAAACTTGGCCATATTTTAGAAACCGAGGGGCTGGAGCTGCCACGCGAGAAGCTCCCACCCATCGACGAGAGCAAAATCTGCATCTATCCGATGGTGTGGACGAATCCGAAGACCGGCGAAAAGTCGTTGCAGGTGCACGGACAAGGCGCGGTCAAGTTGTATCTCAAAAGCAGTGCTGATGGAGAAGAAAGAATTGTCGATGATTTAAAGGAAGTGAGGGAATTCATGCACAAGTCTGTTTTTCCCATGGCAATATCTCGCTGTCGCTGTGAGATACATTTGGCTAACAAGCTGGGTAGAATCATGCGGCCAGCAATCTCGCCTGAAAACATCTATGCCCATCCCCACCAAGAGCAAGACGTGGTTCTTTGGTACAACCGGGCATTGTGGCACAGCATTGTAAGTTGACTGCAGAGCCTGTGCTGCTTTGGCAATCCGCTGACATGGCATACAAGACCGAGTTCCCTGAGTCGTACGGACCAAGAATCATGCATCAGTGCAATATTGCAGCATCGGACCACCCGTCAGGTTAGCATTTTGGGCATGGTGGGTGTCAATGAGTGGGAGGGAGCATTGTACGGCCTTGTTCCAGAAAAAGCCAGTTCCGCACTGGCGTCGTTGGTGATACGATGTCGAATGAAAACTTGCTACTATAGAGTTATGTCCTTTCCTGGAGAGGCCAAATCTGAAGGTCGTACTATGATATCGAGAAGGACACGCTGGTTGGCCGCTCAACTCTCCTTTTCCTTGGACTTGATTGTGGCTCCTCTTGACACTAGCTAGAATGCACGACCTTGATTTGCAAAAGACATCAAATTGTCAAATGTTTGCATACCATCCTCGTCCGAGAGAGGCATATTCCACAACCAATTCAAATCCGCAGGCACAGTCAGCGGTTCGTCCACGCCGAGGCTTTGAGGCTGGGTCACATCCTCTCCTGTCTCATGCTGCTGCTGCTGCTGCTGCATAAAATCCGTCTCTGCGACAGAACTTTGACTTTGACGCTCCGCACGGCCCTGACTCAGAGGCTGCTGAGGACGATCTCGCCCATCGGAGAACGACCGGGCAAACTCTGCCGCGTCGAACCCTCGACGACGTTTTCTCCGAGTCCTGCTGTTCGTAACGAGGGCGTCACTGGACACAACCGCTCTCTTTCGACCACTCTCGACGACGACAACGGCAACGGCGGCCCGGTCCTCGATCTGCCTGCGCAGGGCGTTGAGGACCTTGACGCCCCGCGCGGCGATCATGCTCTTTTGCTGGCACAGCTGCAGGTGCTCGAGGGTCTGGTCGATGAGTTGGGATTCGTCCTGCGCCGGGTACGGCGAGTGCAGGGTGTCGAAGCAGATGACGATGCAGGCGGCGACGGCAAAGGCCTGGTGCGTCCAGAGCATCGGGCTGGACTCGTCCCGGCTGCTCGCCAGGTACTCCTTCAGGATCGTCTTGGAGGCCGCCAGGCAGGTTCGGCGCGTGAATCCGAAGACGGGGTTGGTGAAGCTGAGCCCGAGGAGTTTCCTGTCCGTGCGAACATTCCTGTCAGCTGGGACGCGAGAGAATAGGCAGGCAGGCAGGCAGACAGACAGACAGACAGAGAAGAGGGGTGGGATGTACCTGTGAATCATGATAATCTTGTGTGCAGAACTCATCGCGATGGCTCGGCGCGCCCAGGGAATGTAGCAGGGCCACGTGGTGTCAAAGGCCGTGTTGGCGAGGAACGAGGGCCGTCCGGTGGCCAGGGACCGCATCTTTTTGTCGTGCACCAGAACGGCCTCGTGCTTGGTATAGAGTGTGTTGGACAGGGCCATGGCGTCCTGTAGAGCAGGCATAATGGCCGCGATCTTGGACAGGAACCGACAGAAGCTGGTGACGGTGGGCTCGGACTCGTCCAGGACGTTCAGGTCGTCGTCGCAGTTTTGCGGCGGGAGAGACGTCGAATGCAGCGGGTTGATCGAGTACGACTCGGAGAATGCCGTGCTGAACCAGTCCTGGGTACACAGTTCCTGCCACACGCGCCGGCCTGTTTCGAGCTCGACGGCGCCGCCGGGCGCATCGTCGTCCAGTCTGTGCAGACCAAGACTCTGTGCGATGCGGACGGCAGACGCCAGCATGACGGATTGAGCGTTCGAGTGGCCCAGCATGTGTGCGGTGTTGGTCAGGGTTGTGATGGCCTGGACGGCATGTAAGGAATGATGAGCGCTGTAATTGGCGGCATTCAGCGCGACAACGACCGCCTTGTACCATTTCTGAGACAACAGCCGTGCCTCGCTCTCGTCGAATCCCCATTTCCTCGCCTCGTGCGCCGGGGCCGAGGTGATTGTCCCAGCCATGATCGAGAACAGCAGGGCCACCCATTGCAGGGTGAGTCCCTGGGAGTCGAATTTCCCGCCGTGGTCGGTGTAGAACGCGGCGAGTTCCTGGGAGAAGGTCGGCACAAAGTACGAGCCGTGGAACCACAGCATACAGTCGCCGTGGTAGTCGACTAACTGGTACACCTGGCGGCGGGAAGGGAGCAGGATCTGCAACCACGACAGGAGATGCACGCCCGAGTCGAGGGCGCAGTCGAGCTCCTCGGCCGGACTGACGCCAATGCCCCCATCGTCGTGCTCAGACACCCGGAGCGCTTCGGGCGACAGCATCGCATTATCGGGATCCTTCATGCGGCCCCAGGCCAGGAACTCCAGGACGGTGACGGCATCTTCAATGTCTGACCCCTGACTGGGCGACGACGACCTCCGCTGTGCCACATCCCTGCCCTCAGCCTGCTCTGTTGCTGGTGTCGTCGGAGATTGTGCCACATTAGCCTCTGTGATTCTCTCTTGCAAGGCAGCCTCGAGTTCCGCGACTCGGGCACGAAGAGCACCAACAGCGGATGCCGCGTCGGGCTGGGACCCAATACTGGTTATTCTGCTGTGTCCACGTCCTTGCTCATGGTCGGGATCGTCGCGTTCGCATTCTGCTAGAGTCCGTCTTCTCACACAATTCTGGCATGGGATCTGTTTGTCACACTTGACCTTGCGCCGGGTGCATGGGCGACAGGCCAGTTTCCTCCGAGGTGCAGCGGACATTGGACTCGTAGGTGAGCCGACAGCATTGTGCTCGGGTTGTCAAAGGTCATAGCGGACTGGTCTGAAGAGGGTCTAGGTATCTGCATGCAGGTCAGTGGACCAAGTTTCTTGACGATTCGTCCAACTGATAAGGGGCGACGTTGATAAACAAATACCGTTGACACGATTCGTCAGGTTCCGACGCACATCCCACACGCCGACAGTATAGCGACTAGCAGCAACCGTCTGGACCCCTACTGACTGTTGACTGGTCGGGTGCTAGTACGAAGTCTGCCGATGCGACTGATGTGCTCTTCGGGCGAATCACCAACGAGGCCGGATGGCTGCGATAACAGGGCGCTTTTCTCAAAGTGACTCTCCTCCTACCAAAGCTCGGCCGAGGACCCAGATACCAGTCACTACGAATAGCAGAGTGTCGATTAGCCACTCATGCGAGACCATCGGACATACCCTGTTGATACTTGTACAATGCTCGAATGTCGACAATGACTGTCGGAATTCATAAACTGTTGTCGTCAAAGCCCAAGTTGAGGAGGCGTTGACCCGTGATCCCTGATCATATCATACTTGCCAGCTCTACGAACAGAAAAGAGGCACAATGTCGCCGGCAGCGCTCACTCCCGAACTCTCATTCCAGGTTCTACCCGTCGTCAAGCGCAAGGACCAGAAGTTCAACTTTGGCGCCGTCGTCGAAGGACTAGATCTCAACGATATCTCTGGTATGAACGAGCTCCTTTTGACGTTCGACATTTGATAGCGATCATGCAGCTGATACCGTAAAGATGACGACGTCAAGCGGCTCAAGGAGACGATATGGACGCACAAGGTCATCGTCGTCAGGGGCCAGAAGGACCTCACGCCCGAAAAACATTGGGAGCTTGTCACGCGCTTCGACCCCGAGGCTCCTCAGCTCCACAGCCACGGCAATCTGGAGACATTCCAGAAGAAAGGTGGCATGCTGTCCAAAGCGCGGGACGTCTATGGGATTCCGGGGGCGGAGAATGTGCGTCTGGTTGGAAAGGGATATCAAGGTAAATAGAGAGCGAGCGAGAGAGAGAGACGGTTCGACTGTTTCAGCTTCGAAGCTAACCGAGCCCAAATTTATCTAGGCGAGGATCACTATGGACTCAAGAATCTCACGGTCAAAGGACTCTCAAACGACTTCCACGCCGACCCACCCGCCGACCAGGATTTCGAACGAGGCTTCACGCGCTTCCAGAGATGGCACATTGACGCGCCGTTGTACGCTCGTGATCCCGCATGGTTCACGACCCTCAGAGCTGTCAAACTCCCCTCCGGGCCGGACGTGACGATCCGGTGGGACGACGGGTCTGGACTCAGCATGCAGTCGCCGCCCGGGCTGACCGCGTTCTTCAGCACGTCCCAACTGTACGACATGCTCAGCGAGGACGAAAAGCAGGTGGCCGACCACAGCTGGGTCGAGTACGCGCCATACCCGTACATGTGGGTGGAGAACTGCAAGGCGCCGTCGACGGGACTGGGCCTCAAGTCCGAGGGCAAGGAGCACACGATTGAGGAACTCGGCGAATATAACGAGAAGGATGTCAAGAAGGTAAGAAAGTTCTTGGACGTTTGGACCCCCATCTATCGCCCCTGCTCTCTCCACTCCGCCTTAGGGCACCCACTCCTTAGACAGAGTGACCAACTAACGTTGTGCCCAAAACAAACAGTATCCCTTCGTCTGGATCAACCCCGTGACGGGGGAGAAGGCGTTCCAAGTGCACGGCCTGGGGGCGCGGAAACTCTTTCTCCGATCGTCCAGCGACTCCCCGCCTACGGTCATGGACAAGGTCGAGGAGATCCGCGAGTTCCTGCACAAGATCCAGTCCCGCGTCCTGCGGCCCGAGTACATCTGGCTCCCGGAGGTCCAGGAGGGCGACATCGTCATGTGGGACAACTACGGCACGTTCCACACCGCCGTCGACTACCCGATCAAGTACGGTCCGCGGTCGATGCACCAGGCCAACATTGGCGCGAGCAGAGGTCCTGTCGGGCCCGTGCCGATTCCTGTCGACTGTTGAGTGAGCGAGCGAACATGTAAGTTGAGAGACAACAAGTTCTTGTCTTCGGACATGTATGTGGTGGTGTGTGTATAAGTTGGATACAGAAGCTGGGGATTTCTGATCGTTATGGTAAATCAGGAGAGATTATCCTCGAGTGTTTCGCTCTCATATCGAGTTTACAAGAGCCTCTGTATGTACTAAATCAACGACTTCGAACCGTTTGATAACCCGACCACGCCGGTTCAGTATGAAGGACGACGCATCCAAACGCAAACCAACCCTTACACCCCTCCCTTTCAGGATCCCCAGGCAGACAGATATTCGTTGCAGGTACACGGTACAGTCTAGCCTATGTAGAGGCGTTAACCGTCTTCGGCTCTGGTCTGTAGTCGCTGGCACGCTTATACGACTGCACGAACTGGTCGCGAAGAAAGTCCGTGACGGAGACGGGCCCGTACGGCTCGGGAGGGATGACGGGTCCGTATTTCCTCGCCAGGGCAGGCGGCGGCCGCTGCTCCAGGCCCGGGATGGTCTCGAGCGTGTAGGTGGCGTTGCCGCTGAAGAAGAAGGGGATCGAGTAGCGGTCCGCGGGCGACAAGTTCATGACCCTGTGCGTGTTGGAGGTGTAGTGGTGGTTGGTCCAGCGGGCCATCAGGTTGCCCAGGTTGACGACGTAGGCGCCGGGGCAGGGGTCGACGGCGAGAAACTCGCCCGTCTCCTCGTCCTGGACCTGCAGCCCGCCGACCTGGTCCTGCAGGAGCAGCGTGACGCAGCCAAAGTCGCGGTGTGCGCCGCATCCGCGCGCTTTGTTATCGTTGTCGTCGTCGTCAGACACCGTCTGCGGCGTCTGCGGGTAGTGGACCAGACGCAGCGTCGCCGTGGGCGCCGACTCGGTGAACCGGTCAAAGTAGTCCTCGGGGATGTCGAGGGCGCAGGCCAGCGCGCGCATGACCTCTTGCGCCAGCGCCGTCATGGCGTAAAAGTACTCCATGCAGGTCTCGTGCCACCGCGGCCCCAGCGACCGAGGGTAGATGTTGGAGCCACACCCGTATTCGCCCTGCAGCACGCGCGGATGGTCCGCGGCGAGGTCTTCGCCCAGGTAAATGGCCTCTTTGGTGTCCGGGGCCGCACCGGGCTCCAGCATTTGGTCTCCTATCGTCTCGTAGCCTCGCCCTTTGGTCGTGGGCGTCAGTCTCGCCTTCAACTTTTCTTCCAGCGGCAGGTCGAACAGCTCTTTGGCGGCGGCGAAGATCCTTTGTTGGAGTTCGGGTGAGACGCCGTGGTTGGTGAGCTGGAAGAAACCCTTGTCTCGACAGGCTTGTCCCAGCTCGTGCAAGAATTCGGCCCTCAATGCGGCGTCTTTACTACGAAAGGCTACCGTCGTCGTCAGTCTTCTGCCCTGTAATCCTGTGACGACGCCGGCCACCTACCTGAGAAGTCGAGGATGGGTGGCAACTTGGACTGTCCTCCCAACGAGCCCATCTCGAGGCGTTATCGACGTGGTCTGCGTATGAAGGAGAGGATGCGCTTGATGAGAGTAGATCGACCTTGAGTGTTTGATGTGCGCGAGGTATTGTCTTTGTCAGGACTGATGAAGAGCATCGTCCACTGTCAGCGTCCAGCCTCAGCTGAAGGCGAGAGTTGATTTAGGCTTTGAAACTCTGTTGTTCCGCTGTCACATTGTCACATGGTCACCCTGTCGATGCTCGGCCGATGTCCTTCACACTAGACGAGGCTACTTGCTATACGAGTCCATCCGTATCAAGCATCAACTCGGCCGAGACTCTGCCTGGAGTTTCCCGTGGTCAGATAACATGGCCAGATACCCTCGTATATCTGAGCATCATCTATCTCACCACCACCACATCTTTCACTGACCAGTATGATAAGACCGTGGATGCAGACAAGCGCGTTCCTGGTTTGGTATACTCGTACCCCATTATCCCGACATGTTCACACTCGGCCAATGCGATAAGAGCATTTTATGAGTGTCACGACGTGTATAGCCAACCTCCCTGGAGTGTGTTCTCATGTATATAACATATCGGTCGGTATCCACCAGGAGTCTCATGTGGCATCCATGTGTTCAGGTGGCATGTTCTCGTTGTCAAAATGAAGTCTCTTAACAAATTCCAAGACAATGTCCGCCGTCAGTTCCACGACTTCCGACATGCCTTCACCAGCTGGCCGGCTTTTGTCCAGTACGTCGAGACCAAACCCGATGCCACCAGCGACACCGCCGTCTCCCGCAACCGGTGGATTAACGAGGACCTCGACGTCAGCCCCAAGAGCCACCAGACGTGGAGCTGGTACGACTACGCCGCCTTCTGGTGGTCATACGGCTTCTCGCCGGGCTGCTGGTACCTCGGGGCTGCATTGCTGGCCATCGGACTGACGCCAGGTCAGGCGTTGGGCTGTCTGTTCCTGGGCTTCTGCTTCGGTTCTCTGGGGATCGTGATGCATTCGCGCGCCGCCGCCGTCTACCACTTCGGCTTCCCCGTCGAGACGCGACTGGTCTGGGGGCTCCGGGGAGCCTACTTCCCCGTCTTGATCCGGGCGCTGTGTGCGCTCGTCTGGGCCGGCGTCACCATCGCGCAGGGCGGATACTTCACCGCGGTGGTGCTGCGGTGTATCTTTGGCAACAGCTATTGGAACATGCCCAACCACATACCCAAGAGCTCCAACATCACCGTGCAGCAACTCATAGGTTTGTGAAGAATCTTGTACGGGGATATGTAGGGCGAAGGACTCACTGATGTGTCTCAGGAATGCTTGTCTACTGGGTCATGACATGCTGGACGTTGAATGTCCCCATCCCCAAACTCCGACGAGCGTATGAAGTTCAAATGATTGTTCTTCCCGCCGTCATCATCGGTGCGTCACCTCAAAGGCTCTAAAGGGGGAAATAGGATCTTGCTGATTGATTCGTCCACATCAGGCCTTTTCGCCTTCTGCATGGTGACCGGCCGAGGACACGCGCACAAGGAGCTGTACGACGTCGAACGCAAGCACGGAGCGGCGCTGTCGTGGGCATTGGTAAGAAGGGTCCCTATGTGGGTATGAAAATCGGATGAGCATTTGTTGACCGAGCACAGCTTTCGGCAGTCAACTCGGGACTGGCCAAAACGACCACGCTCATGGTAAACCAGCCGGACATTGCACGCTATGCTCGCAGCAAGATGGCGCCGGTGTGGTCGCAGCTCGTCATGTTCCCCGTGGCCAGCACCGTCTGCGCGGCCATGGGCATCTACGCCACCCAGAACATCTACAATGCCTGGGGCAACATTGACTGGAATCCGTGAGTTCTGCCTCGTCACAGCGATTGCCATTTTTCCCCTCCAGAAAAGAAACGTTCCTTCGCGTGAATGATGAGTCGCATAAAGCTGATTACGGTTCTATGTTGTGTACAGATGGGACCTCAACCACGACATGCTAGACCACCAGTTCAGCCACTCGCGCCGGGCCGGCATCGCCATCATCAACCTGGCCTTCATCTTCGGCAACGCGCTGACCGAGCTGGGCGCCAACGTGATCCCCTTCGGCGCCGACTTCATGTCCCTCTTCCCGCGCTGGCTCAACATCAAACGCGGCATGTGGCTCTGCTACATCCTCGGCGTGTGCATCTGTCCCTGGCAGATCCTGGCCACCGCGACCGCCTTCCTCAAGTTCCTCAACGGCTACAGCATCTTCCTCGGCCCCTTTTTGGGTATGGCGCTGACGGACTACCTCGTCGTGCGGAGGGGCAACGTCTTTGTCCCCGAGCTGTACCGCGCCAAGGGCCGGTACTGGTATTTCCACGGCGTGGCCTGGCGGCCCGTCGTGACGTGGTTGGGTTCGGTGGTTTTTATGGTGAGTTTCGAGAACATGTACAACATGTCGTCCCGTCTGATTACCTCTCATTTATCCCGTTCACGGTCCACGGCTTTCCGCCGATATATCTGCACCGCATCTACACCTCCATATCTATGATCCTGCGTCACAATATATGTAACATGATGACCTGACCCTGTGTGAACAGCTCCCCGGCTTCGCCCAAACATTCAACGCCCAAATCGTCCACGGCGCGGGCTGGACCCACCTGTACGCCTTCAGCTGGTTCTACACCTGCACCGTCAGCAGCGTCGTGTACTCTGCGCTGTCGTTCGTGGGGGGCTCCTACGCGCGGGAGGAGAGGCGCCTGCCGTTCGAGAGCTTGGGCGGAGTGGCTGGCGGCGTTGAAGAGGGTCGGGCGGTCGAAGAAGAGAGAGGGGGTGGGAGTGGGAGTGGGAGTGATGTCTCGGAAGTGAATTTTAGTGTTGAGCAGAAGGTCTAGGTCTCAAGATTGAGACGGACGGATGCACGGATAGTGCGAGGTCCTACCATGAAAGAGACGGAACGAACGAAAGGAATGTTTCGTTTAATGCAGATTACTACCCCAGACGGAAAGTGTTATACTACCAAATCCAACGCCTTCGCGGCCTATACCTACAAGAGATCCAGAGCTTCTTCTCCTCCCAACCAGAGTATCGAGGTCACTTAGCTAGAGCCCAGCCCTCCCCCCTCCCCCTCGAGCTCATACTTCTTCTTCGCGTCCGCCACCTCCTTGAGCCACGCATCCAGCAATTCCAGAGCCTATTCACCACACGTTACGCACCGACGAGACGATTAATAAATTGTTGATCGGTGTCAAACGAATGGGAACCTGGTCCCACGAGAATATGTGAGAAACTTACCTGGGGGTTATCTTTCCAGCGGTCCTGGGCCTCCTTGAGCTGTCTCTCGGCACACTTGAGCTCGTCGAGGAACAGTGCGGCAAACTTGACGCGCGACCACTTGACGGATTTTGGCGGTGCAATGCTCGCATCAGGCTCGGTTGTGGTGGTAGTGGTGGTGCTCTCCCTCGCAGCCTCTCCCGACCGAACGCCTTCGGCTGGCGGGTATGGGCCCACGATGCTGAATTCGATGCTGAACCCGCCTTCTTCTGGTGTCGGACCTACAGATCACCAAAGAGAATTAGTTCTTCGTCTGACCAACCATCCAACCAATCAACCAACCAACGAAAACCGCATCCAGGAAGACGGAGATCAGCCTTACCAAGCCACATGCCGTACACGTCTGAAATCGTCGAGCTGTCCTCGGGCAAGTACGGTCCGGCCATGTTCGGGGGCAGATTCAGCAGCCCGATCGAGTCGACGACCAGATTGTTCACGACGTCGGTTTGTCCGATATTCAGCCCGTACCCGGAAGGGTTGAACATCATGACGGATGGTGGGGCGATGCTGTTTTCCATCTCGACGTCGTTGAAGGTCGTCTCGGGGGAAGGCACTGCGTGAGGATGGTAGTGTTAGAAATCTCTGCGTCTGCGTGTTGTGTCATACCATTAGATGGATGACGGGCTTACTGGTTGCTTTCGTTGGGTATTCTTGGGAGCTTGGATCGAGTTGTGAAAGAATATGGGTTCACCCTCCGTAGCTGGATGGTGGTGGGGAGGACGACGATGACCATCTTTGCCGCACGCATTTATATAAACGACCACATTCGTATTGCAGCTCATCATCAAGTTTCCCAAGGTGCTGTGCGTCTCAGCTGGGGCTGCATTGTGCAGAATGCCTTAACAAGTAATATCAAGACCCAGCAATGTCCCTTGCATGGGTTGTCCTTTTTTGGAGCGAGATGGTCTGCGCAAGACGTCATCAATAACATATCCTTACCAACTTTGAGGCAGGCCTGTCTGGAAGTAAGCAAGTCCAGGCCGTATCGCGCCAGCCACAGCTCGCGGGACAAAGACAAAGGGTCGAGATATAATGACATTCAGCCAGCCATAACTGAGGAGCGTTCTGCTTTTGCAGCTCTTGTGAGGTCTAGACCAGTGCCCGCTGAGAAGGGCAGCTCACTCAGAGGCACGGTGACTGTATAAGATGTTGACATCAACACTCCGCGGTCCCTGTCGACATAGCACAGGGGCCAATGACCAAGAAAAGGGAGCTGTGATGAGTGCTAACAACACACCGCTACAGCAAGGGAGAGTAGCGGCCAACAGCCTGGTCCAGAATTTTGACATGGCCACAGTTCAGCTGAGCCACAAGCTGTGTTGGACGAGATCATCATGGTCGAGGCTGTGGCAGGCATCTTCCAGAAGACATCGCGGTGTCCGCATTCATTTACCCGATTGTACAGGACAGCGAGATGGACATTGGATAGAAAGTCAACCGCCTATACAACTCGGTGTACTGGACCAGTTAGCTGATTGGGAGTACGTGGATGATGTTACTTCAAGTTTTCTGGCAAAAGAGCCTCAAGATGAGGGCATTAACTTCCGTCTCCCCGGACAGACGGTGCGCCAGCCATGATTCGTCAAGCTTTTGTGGATGCCATAGCGCAGAAACAGCTGAAGATTGTCGCAGCAGACGACGTATGCACGCATTGGCGATATTGCTTTGTTGATCCACAGGATTGTTGTGTGGCAGCCATCTGATGAAGCAGTCAAGTGGAACCAATGTTGA